CTCTCTCTCTCTCTCTCTCTCTCTCTCTCTCTCTCTCTCTCTCTCTCTCTCTCTCTCTCTCTCTCTCTCTCTCTCTCTCTCTCTCTCTCTCTCTCTCTCTCTCTCTCTCTCTCTCTCTCTCTCTCTCTCTCTCTCTCTCTCTTTACTCTTTGGCGTTCTTTTATTCGCATTCCGCTTATATACTCCTAATGTACTAAATATTGTGTCCATGTAACGTTCGTTAAACTGTGTATTACAAGAACTTTTCAAGGAAAATTCCAATTTTTTTACTCTGAATAATATTCGCATATTACATGTTCTATATTGCATGTATTTAGAATTATATAAAATAAAACTTATAATTAAGAATTATTAAGCTGCATTTGAACTTATCGCTCTTTCTTTAACACGCGAAGAAACATTTCAAGGATTTCTTTTTATTTTTCAATCTGATACTATTCTTTTAAATTTGCTAAAAAGAAATTGTACATGCATGTGTAATGTATGTATGTGTCTGTGAAAAAAATTTGCCGCCGTAGCAATAAATAAAATACGCAGCAATTTAATAATGTACAATGCAACGGCAGTGTAAAGTTTCTCAGCAGCTCAAATCTAACCTCATCGTGGTCTTCTCGATGAAGAGCCAAGTTCCTCGGAAAGGCGGGCACGCTGCTGACGGTCAAACCCTTCAAGTCCTTTAGCTCCTTCAGTGCGCCGAGCGCGTTTAAGTTGTCCTTTAGATTCGCTAGATTGAAATTAATCCCCTGCTCTTTGAAATTGAGATGCCTGTTGAGCACGGTTTTGCCTAGCGCGCTCGCCAACAAACTGTTGTACAACTCGTTACGTAGAATGAACTTTCTTTCGACACTGCTATCGTCTTTGCTCGCCTCGTCGTTCGACGAATCCGAGTCCACCTCGACGGAAGAGTTCGAAACGACACTCATCGTGGACATTTTACCGTTCTCGTTACACCAATTTGACGCAATGAAAAATATCTTTCTGGCTCTCGATGCACAAAAAGCACCTTTTTCTTGGTCTCCCTCAAATCTCGCTGTTTGCCTCTCTTTATTTCAACGAAGGTAAGTTTCAAAATTGCAAGGACCTAGTAAAATACCTGTACATGTGTTCCTTGTATATATGTATAGGAATATATATATAATTAAATAGGTTCTTAAATTGTATATATATATATATATATATATATATTTATTTATTTATTTGTTTGTTTATCTATTCGGTAACCCTTCTATTTATTTTACTTATTTACTTCGTACTCGGTTAAGAGGATAAAAACACCGCGCGGCGCGCGCGGTCTGAGAAATTGCTTCAAGAGCCCACGTGGCACATTAACGCGCAGTTAAAAACTGCTTAAAGAGCTGCAAGGTCGGCTTCCGAAGTCGAGTGTTGTATCCGTCCACAGATTCCATGC